GATATATAATTGGAATGACTTTTCCTAATACTGACATTGCCCTCACTTTGGCTCTTCAACCAGTAAGGTGAGGTAAAAAGTAAGAGCTGTCATAGTGAGGTAGTCCAAGTAGCAGTCTCTGAAACTTCCACTCCCCAGTACCACTGCAAAATAGCACATCTTTGCTGGGGGAAAGGGACAAAGGTTAATGCTACCTTTAAGGGTTGAAAACACTCAGAGCTGGTGGTTCCCATAGTATCTCCAACTAATTTGCTGATCTGGCCCCTAAAGGAACCAGAGGATGCTGAGAAAAACTGAACCACCACAAACTCAGATAGGCAGAAGCCCCATGGTAGTTGCTATGTCAGATGTGGTGCTTTACGTAAAGCATATTAACATGATTTCAGGTAAATATCAAGTGACTATTGACGTGAGAAATGTGTCCTTTGCAAAACCTATCAGAAAGAAAATTTAGAAACAGCTTACAGTTACCTGGAATGAACAAGTTTTGTCCCAAGGCTGTTAACACTACCTCATCCCTGTTGTGATACAGCCTAAAGAGACCTGTATCTACTGGACAATCCTTCAGAATACACTAGCCCACCATATTGGCTTCCCAATCAGTACAACTATTAGGGATCTAATGGTTTAGGGGAGATAGCAAAAAAAACCCATAGTTTATAGATCAAATCTGCCCCACCATCCCTTTTGTAAACAAAGTTTTATTGCAACACAGCAATGCTCATTTTGTTTACAAATTGTCTAAAATTGTTCTCATGCTACAATGACAGAGTTGAATAATTGTGGCCAAGACTATATGGATCACAGAACCTAAAATATTTATTCTTTGACGTTTTCCAGAAAGTTTGCTGACCCCTTATCTGGGGCATGCCAGGACAACTCCCCAAAATAAATAACAGAGTAGAATTTCCTTCACCTGCAGTGGCAGGGTCTGTGGTTTACTCCCCTCTCTTCTTCCCTCCTGTCCAAGAAATGAAGCTCACCAAGGTCCTAAAGAAGCTGCTCCCAGAACTCCTGTGAAGTAGATGGATCTGAGCGGCACTGGGAGACTCACAGGGTCCCTGTTTCAGGATTTAGCAAATTGTTCTCCTGGCTGCTGAGAAAGTTTGTGCTCCCTCTTCAGGAACTGGATAAGCTGAAAAGAGCTATTTGTCGAAGTTCATGTTCACTTCATCAGGCATTCAACATTCAATGCCTGCTGGATACAGCAGTATAAATGTCCAACGCCTCCACCTCAACTCAGGAAATCTCTAAAGGGTCATGTCATCAGGCTCAGCTGATCACTTGTTGTGACTGCACCATAGTAAAATTTCTCCATCTGTCCCATCCTATATCATCCTTTTCCCCACAGGTGCTGATCTCTACAATACCCCCTAATAACCTTCTTACATGGTAATCTCTGTCTGTTTCCCAGGAAACACATCCTGTGACAACCTTTTATTTAGAAACATGAAACCAGCTAAAGAAGTTGAAAGTGACGGGCAGAGGGACCTGGCAATGGAGAGCTACTTTTTCTTGAAAGATCTGTTCAACTATTTGATATTTTTAAGTATGTGCATGTGTTTTTAACACAAATTTAAACATGATGTTAAAAATAGAAAAAAGCTCTTTAAAAGATTGCACAGGAGAAATCCTTATAATTGTGAGTCAGATTTGTTTTCCATCTCCTTTTATTTTTATTTGCAAATCTTCAAAACCAAGCTCCACGGAAGCTACAGAAATATCCAAAGTCTAATTTTCTTACCATGTTATATGCAAACTGTATGATATCCCATCTGTCTCTTTATTTCTTATTCTTTCTTGCATACATGAATGCGCTTGCCCACACATATTCCCAATGCACAGGAATTTGGTTTGGGAACTTTTTCTTACATGTCACTACTCTCTCTCATCCATGCTTTGGAAAAGTAGAAGGCAACCAAAACATATTGAAGGCATCTAGTAGATCCATCATTTAGTTAATATCTGAAGTTGAAAGTCAAACAATCTGCTGAACTTGCTTTGATTTAGGATGTGTCTAATTCATCCTTATATCAGGAGTAAAGTATTTGATGACTCACTTATATCTAATTCCTATTGTGGATTTCAAAAAGATAATGTAAAAGTGCTTCAGTTTTATTTGTCTACTTGGAGTCAAGAACCATAAACTTACCAAATATTTTTACAAGAAAGCCAAATTTATCAATTACAATAACCGAGCAAATAAAAGTTTATGTTCATTTAAAAAAGGATAATGGTTCACATCTATAATCCAAGTGCTTTGGGAGGCTAAGGAGGGAGAATCACTTGAGTCCAGGAATTTGAGGCTGCAATGAGTCATGAGAGCACCAATACATCCCAGCCTGGGCAACAGAACAAGATTCTGAGTCAACAAATAGATGATAGATTAGAGTAGATTAGATTAGATTAGATTAGATTAGATTAGATTAGATAGACAGATAAGGGATAAGATAAAACTGTAGATCATTGTGGACAAAGAGAATATAAAGATCCTTCAAATTTTTCTGTACCACTAAATAATTGTCAAAATTCCAGGCCTTGAAAGCACTGAGATCATCACCGTGTGGGGTAAAAGGACACTATAGTCATAGTTACAGCATTTATGCCCTGGTATATGTTTTCTTGGGAACATCAGCTCATATACCTGCACCTTGGACTTGAATCTTTAAACTGTTCACACTAAACAATGTCAGTGTTCTCCAGTTCCATAAAGGACTCTGTTACTGTTATTCTGAAGGACAAAACCATCTACTGAAAGATAATTTTTAAATGACTGACTTTTGTGTGGTTGTTTGTCTGACTGTTGCTATTTACTTAACATATGAAAAGTCTATTACACGTGTTTTGAAGAACAGTACTTAAGAAAGAATTTTTTAAATGGAGCTATTTTCTAGAGTGTATGAGGGCCATTTTGGTGGCATAGTTTCTGTGAAACTAAGATTTCATTTCCTACTGATGACCCTCATTTCATGCAGGCAAGTCTTCAATATCACATTTATTCCATTCTATTTGCATGTTGTAAATTTGAATTTAATAGGATTTGGAAAGTTTGGTCTTTTCAAAATGAGAATTTTAATTATATATTGTTTTTGTTTTTTATTTGAAACCACAAAAAGATTTTCTTTTAGTTTTAAATTAGAGAAAAGTACACTATATTCATCCATATAACATCTGTGCTTTTATAGTGTTTATTGCCCAAGATTTCTGAAGAAAAAGGAAAAAAAATAAAGAAAAAGGAAGGAAGGAAAGGAAGGAGGAACAAAGAGAGGAAGGGAGGGAGGAAGGGAGAGAAAGAAGGAGAGAAAGAAAGAAAGAATCACTTCAGTGTTTTTTAACAGTTCATTATAATCACAGGGTCTACGAAAAGGTTTAAAAACACACACACCAATATAGAAGGCATACTTCTACACATTTTTACCATTTTAAGAAAAAGAAAGTCAGTATAAATCTCTAATTTTAAACTATTTATATCTTTTAAAATATATTTTGCATTTTATTTTTAAAATGCATTTTATTAAGAAAAAAGAAGAAACAGATTACAGATCAGGAAATCAAAGTCATGGCATAGCGTATCAATGCATTTGGATGTGACAATGTTGAGTCTCTAGTAGTTCAGACCACAGAAGACTATAGGGTTTCACCATCTATAATCCTGTTTACAATCTAGCTACCAATGGAGTTTATACTGCTACTAAGTTAGATGAAGAGTTGCAAAAGATTAAGAGCTGTGATTATATTTGCATTCAGCTTTGCATCAAATAAATACTACCATCTTTGTTAAATCCTTCCCTTGCCACCAAAGGTCTTCTAATTAAAAAAAAAAGTATACCATTTACCAACATAGGTCCTTTATAAACTACTATGTTGATTCAGGTTATTAAGATTCAGTCAGGCATTTACAAAAACATCAATATGAATATAATGCTATAAGAAGACAGTCAAGTTTTATGAGTTAACAAGGAAAACATGGAAAATAAGTAAATAGTAATGCTGAATTTTCATATTTTTAAATTGTTCTGGTGTGGACAAAATAAGGAATCCATTTTTTACTTGGGAGGCACTTAAAGGTGTGAGTACAGATAGTAAAATGCTTTTATTATATAATTAGTTCATGGAATTCAAAGACAGTTTCATGCAGGCACCTTGTCTACATGGCCTCAGAATTAATTATTGCAATAATTCCATAAGTTTATTGATAATTCTCTGATCTCCTAGTGTGTATGCACTTAATCAGAATGCACTAGTTGGGGCTTATACTGATACTTGTTAATTTTTGAGAAATTAACTTCATCTCCCTAGACAAGAAGTGAGTAGAATGACAGATTTGCTATAGATCATACAGCATGTTATCCCCACTTAGAATGAACACACTTTACTCTACTCGTTGAATAGAAGGGAAGCATGGTTGCAGCTTATATTTCAAAAACTGAAGGTCAATGCATAGTAAAATGTATTCCTGAAGGGATATATATTTTGGAATGGGGAATGGAGCTCTATACTTCAATTTGTCTCTTTAAAAAATAATATAGAAGTTGCTCCATGGAATATAATCATGGCAGACCAAAGCAAAGTTTATGATAAAATTTAGGAAAAAAAAAAGAAATATAAACCTATAAAAACTTGACTTAAAGTTTGGGGAAAATATTCTCATAAGTATATTTCATTTGAGGTATTACAGTTGCAATCTAAAAATAATTTTTTCCTCTATTAATAATTTTTTATATCAACAAGTATAATTGAGAACACTTTACATTCTTTGGGAAACTGGCATTACTCAGGCTCTTTACTGTCTCCCTGAAACAATGATAGCATACTAAATGGAAAACTTTTTAAAGGTAATAAGACATCACATACCAACAACCACTGCACTTTTTGAGTCTTGTTACACGTGACTCATATGTTCAGAGTCAAAGTCTGACACTTAAAACCAAATGTACTCAACATTATTAAGAGTCAAACAGAAAAAAAAGAGCAATACAAACAAACCAGCGACAACAAAACATTTTTCGAGACTATTAATGTATTGTATTGAATGTAATACAGAGAAAGGCAAAGGGGCTTTATATACTTGTGGCCACTGAAGATGCAAACACCAGCCAAACAGGATCTGAGAAGCATTTCCAGGTCTATGAATAACACCATGGGAAAACAAAAGCAAACACAGCAAATGTTCTCAAATAAAGGAAAGTCATTATAGTCCAAATTCAATTTTTACCTCTAACAAAATGTATGTATTACATGATTAAGAGACCAGAGCTACAGCTTTCACACATAAAAACTGTAGTCATTAAGCAAGCTAAACTTGTTTGAGATCATATCAGAACAGTTTTAAAGTAACAGCAATATCTACTTCCTTGTTACATAGAATGTTTGCTATGAGAAATATGTTGCCAGATGAGGCTTCCTGGAGCCACCCCGTGCCTGGACATGGCAAGATGGCAGTGCTGCAAATCCATTGCCTGTACATTCACTGTAAAACATTTTTTTTTTTGTCCATTGAGAGCCCCTGGCTATTAAAACAAGCTGTCATAATTATAAGTTAAATCAGAACCGCCAATCAGAAGAAGTATTCTTTCTGATTTTCATTGACTGCATTTTGTATATTAAGCTCACTTTTCAAAACAGCCTCGGCACTATCTACATTCTCTGACCTTTTTGCCTCATTTCTTTTGTATAACCTTTTCTGCTGATAAATGCGAACAGCTATGGCAGTGATGCAAAGCAAGATAAAGATCACAACAGCTATCAGACCTAGTGAGAGAAAAGAAATATAAAGTCAGAATTTTTGTCTGAATAGAAATTGTGTTGACTTCATTGCTTAATAAGTCATAATAACATTATTCTCTACTGAATCAAGCATAAGCTATATATAAATTAGAAATACAAAAGCTTCAGGTATTTCTGATTCAAGCAATATCATAATATTTTATTTCTGAGTTCTATAAACATTGTGGGTTCATTTCCATTTATTCTGAATTCATATGCTATTGAATTTATGTAGCGCTTTTATATTTAACATAAAGTATTTCTTATATGGCTCTGAGATATGTAGCCACTTAATATCAAGACAAAGATAAGTTTTAATTATTTTGAAATTATAGAGTAGTAGCACTCTAAAGGGATTAATATGTTTTCATGATTAAATATGTAAAAATTAATGAAATTAATATTTGATTATTTATTATATTGTTGAATAGTGGAAATGGATTATATACATGAATAATTCTGGCTAATAAAATAGATATAAATATATTTAAATTATTTCTATATAAAAATAATAATTTTTTTGAAAATTCTGGTTTTAAATAAAAGTTTTAAGTACTATGATTCTTAACTATACCAATAGTTATCAACCTTGGCATTACATTACTTCAATAGTACTCAAAATGTGATCTTTGAAACCCTGGTTGTCCCAGAGACACTTCGATGGGGCCCAAAGGATCAATACTATTTTCATAATAATTTTAAGATGCTTTCTTCGCTGTGTTGAGATTTCTATTGATGGCATAAGACAAGGTTAGGTAAAATTGCTGGTATAAATTAAGGCAAGGACACCAAACTATAATAGTAGTTATTGAATTCATGGAGTAGAAGACATTGCACTGCTTTTTTTTGCAGAAAAAGTCAAACTCATTTAAGAACGTTCTTAATGAAGCAGTAAAAATTACTCATTTAATTAAATCTTGACCCTTGACTACAAGTCTTTTTAACATTTTGTATGTTAAAATGATAAATATACAGAAAGTACTTCAGGTACAGTCTGAAATATGATTATCTCCAGGAAAAGCACTTGTGTGAACTTTTGAGTTATGAGTTGAACTAGTTGCTTTTTGTTTCATGTAACACCAATTTTATTTGAAATAATGACTAACAGATAAACCATGGTTGTTCAGACTTGGGTATTTGGAGTATATTTTCTCTAAAATGAATGAAGTAAATCTGTCACTTCAAGAAAAACAACTACATAAGATATGTTATCAATGATAAAATTCAAGTTTTCAAATCAAAAATAGAATTTGGAGAACTATTTTATGTCATCATGAGTTTTAGACTTTCCCAGCACCTAAAGAATTTTCTGATGAGATCAGTGGAGGTATAAACTAATATCAATTTTTTAAAGACAAAAATAAGTACCATGAAAATAGTAATATTAATCAAATTTCCTATTGTAAAACTAAGACTCCATTCTTATTTAAAGTAGGTTATACAGCCCAAGTTAAGATGTGAAGGTTTTTATTACTCACAGTAGATTCTTGAGTATATGATTTGTTAGAGCGATTCACTATGGTCAATCATACTATAGCCAAAGGCTAAGTCAACTTTTGGCTAAGTCAGTCTTACCTGAGAATGGAGACACTGCTGATTAATCTAATACAAATCTGGTAACCAAACTCTGTACATAAAACCTGAAGCATTTGCTAATGGATGTGGCTACTTTTGAAATGATTAGTCATGTTAATTAATAAATAATTTCAATCAGAATATTTATTGTTATTTATTTTGCCTCTCAGTTTAGCAAAATAATCAGTTGAGTTATTATAAATATTTCTACTGTCTAGCTATAGGGCTTTGGCTTGAAGAGAGAGATTTTGAATAATTTCCATAAGAAAATTTCTTACATACGACAGAGCAGCCCACCGCAATTATATAACAGACAGGACATCTAGACAGTCAAAATCAGGGATGGTTTCCAGAAATTTTTGCTCCATGTATGTAATTTATATCCCTTAATATGAGGAAGGTGTTATGTTAGTATTTGCTGTGCCCAAGAGAAACCTTCTTCTAATCTATTATACCAAAATAAACAAATAAGATATTATAAATAAATTATGGCCAACCTCTATGATGTTACATCTGAAGCACTGTGTGAATGTGTTTTTTTGAAGAAATTGTGTAACTTTTTGCCTATCTAAACCTGTCTATTAATATCTGGGTGATCTAGTCAGCAGTCCTCTATAACATCTGAGTTTACCCCTTTAAAATGTATTATTAAATCAATTATCCCATCTTACACTATTCACTTTAGAAGTGAAGGGAAACAAATCATCTAAAATGCAGAACACAAAGGGATTAGCCAATTTGGAAAATCCGTAAATGAAGTAATTATTATTACATAGTAAGTGCAATTTGTGAGTAACTAGACAATGAGCAAAGAGTTGTACCACAATGCTACCAGACTGAGTAACACACTGGAGGATGATACATCATGATTTAGCAGATAAATTGCATGCGGCCCAGACAAGGTCTTCTGAGCTTAAATGGCCATTACCAGCTGCTTTGCTTCTGAAGTTCAGTCCCTGCCATGATCAAAAACAGACACCACCGTCTTCAAGGACCCTGGCAAATCCCTGAATGCCAGACTTTCCATATTGTCTTTCTCTGCCCTGTACATTTGAGCTAAGTGAGAATTTCACAGGTAAACTATAATTTGTTTCCAATCTAGAATAACACTACAATAAATTATCAAGATACTTCTTGTTTAACTCTGTAAATTTTGTCAATGATCTTTGACAAAAGCCACAATAGTCTAAAGAAGAAATATTTTGTCCTATCATTGGCTTGACCATTCTATATTTATATCTATTTTTGTACCTATATCAAATATATATGTATATAAATATACCACTTTAATATATGGAAAAAGAACTATTACAGATTGTTTGATTAGGAATACTAGCTTAAAATGTTGAGCACACTGTAAATGCTAGGGCTTTAAGTGAGGTTTTACTGTACAATGTATTTTTTTAGACATACAGTGATTAATTACTGTTTTTTCCTGTTAGGATTAAATGGGGATCTTATTTTTTGTATCTTTAACTTACACATCATTAATTTGAAAAAAGAAAAGGATTAAATAGCAATGGGAATGTTAACATCCTCACAAAGATTTGACCAGCAGTATTTGCTGTCTAAAAAAAACCTTAAATACTTGAAGACAGTCTATGTCCAGATAAGTAAGAGTGTAAAAAATAGAACCAAATGAATCAAGTATAAAGTCCACATAAGTTTCCCAAACTTATGCATAATCACATTATCTAGCAATGTAATAGAATAATTATTTACTTTCATATGTCCATATCAAATTCAGAGTGTGGATAAAGGTGAACCACTTAACATTTCAATAATCTGATTAATAACATTCTTGAGAGCATTAATCAGGAAAAAAGGCTTATTTTTGGAGTTGGTTCTGAATAAATTATGTCTCAGAGAATATGCTGTCACATTGCCAGGGAGGTATACATTTTGTTTAACTCTGCAATTTAAAATTACTCCTAATCACTTTTAGTCCATTAACCTAATATTTAATAAAAATGCAACTAAAAGTATAATATTTATTGATGGGAGCCTGTAAACTATGTGGATATACCCTTTATAAAGCATTAAAGCAATATGAAATATATGCTTGTAATGTTAATCTCAGGCTTTTCCTACTTTTTACATGAACTTTTTTAGAAGCAGTGATATGTCCAAGGAGCCAAGAAAATGACATTTACTCAAATATATTCAGAGTTCCCTAGGCATTGCAGATGGCCATTTTCAAGTTAAATAATATTCATTTTTATACAGTCTAGTGATTAATTTTGAGTGTGGTACTTCAATGAAATTATTTATACTGAAAATCTCCAAGGAAGCAGGGAATTCTGGAAGATTTTATAAGACAACCCAGTGCAAATAGTAAATTACCCTGTTGTCATCACAATTCAGTGCCTGGAACTTAGGATATATGTGGATTCTTCATAGATATTTTTTATAATGCTAGATATTCACCATTATTAGTAATGATAGTTCACTCATGCTTCCTATTACCTCCAATTACTGCAGAGTCACTTTTGATCGTGTTAGTTAGGGGTTCTCGGTCATCTATTGTTCCAGAATGATCTGCAGTTAGAGCACAAAAATAAGTTGGAGGGTGATATAAGCAAGTAAATGAAGAAATTTTGAAAAATTCATAAATAAATCAGAACAGGATGAAGGAGATGAATGTGGGATGTCTGTCATTTTCAATTTAAGTAATATCAACTCCCATGACCCCTCCACCTCTTGAATAAGAAATTGAGAATCTAGGAAAGATGGGGAAAGAGAACTGAAAGTTAAACAAATAAAGCCAACTTTAAGAAACCATCTCAAGAAGGTAGCCTAACAGTAACATCAGTAGTTCTCTAAATCCGGTGGGTTTGTGACATGGTAGAGGAAGAGCTCTGAGTCACCTGCAAATGAGTGTGTCCTTTCCCTTGATGTGGCATCAGTCCCAGCCTGGGCCACACAACTGGACTCAGTAACGTGTCCCGTAACAGTGACAGGAGCTGGGTGACTGGGATGCAGAGCAGCCTTCAGAGGGGCCACGTGGCTCAGCTGCACTGCAGAGAGGCAACCGGTGAAGCCCTGTGAACCTGCCAGTGCCGTCTCCTGGTCTACATCACTGTGATCTGCACAACCAAGGAAACACCAAAATATTAATAATCATGAAAGGTAAAAACAGGCAATGACACAGAAATCAAGTATTCCAAGTCTGTTAATGCAATAGCAATAAAGATAGAACTACTGAATTCTTTTTTCTTTTGTCTTAATTAAAAGAGTTAGCTCTGTTGTCTTTCCATAAGCATTGGTGAGATTTCCCAGGTTATTGCTAATTAAACATTATATGGTGAACTCTCTGGAAACTAGTAAAGCCACTGTAGAGTGGATCAGGTTATGAGCTGCTGAAGGGTCATGATATTTTAAACTTAAAAATAGATCATTGACATGTATTTATGATAGGGCTTATAGTCTATATCAAAAGGTGTATTCCTGATATGGAAATGAGTTCAATTCAGCTTTTGAGACTAAAGTAATGAAAATAACATAAGATGGAGAAAAACTTGAGCCTCTGACATTTCCTCATCAGTTGTTCAACTTGACAATTTTATTTATATGAAAGATTTCTGATATTTTATGACCATACCAAGAGAATGATATTAGTATGCAGTGGACACCATCTTCGATTTAAGTCTCTCCTTACTTACTCACGTACTGCAGTAAAAATTTCCAGACCCCATTACCTTTTTTCCCTGTTTCAATGACCACCTGTCACCCAAACAGAAATGTCTGTGTCCTCCAAGAAAGATAATTCCTCTCATCATATTAATGAGAATTTATTTAGTATGAGACTCTTGTGGAACAGAGATTGGTTTTAATGCTAGAATATTAATTAATAATTTTACAGTTATACATACCAGTTGCTTGGTAAGAACAAAATCTAAACAAGAGGAATTTATTGTAGAGTTTTAAGGCTCAAATGTTATCAAACTGCAATACATCCATACAGCCAGTACAATCATAAAATAGCATGACTATCCTTTACTGCAGTGCACATACTGGGGAAAGACACAATGTGCATTTTTGTTTCTCTTTAAAAAATAACAATATGGGTAAGCCCCTCAAGTCCCCTCCCACTGTGGGAGCTTTTCTGTCCTCTCAATAAATCCTGCTTTATAATAATAATAATAATAACAACAACAACAACAATATAATAGATATTAACTATTCATCGAGTGCATATTATGTGCAGGACACTCTTCTAAGGGATTTGCATGTTACTGCTAAAATGTTAACAGTAGCCACAAGAGCATATTATTGCAATCATACAGATGGAACATCTAGGTTCAGAATTTTAATGATTTGCCTGAGGTCACACAGTTGTTAGCATTATGTGCTGGACCTCAGGCCTGTTGGAATCAAAATCACAAACTTCTTTTGTTCATGAATCAGTTTCTGGTTGAGATGGTCTTTCATTCATTCTGCTTTTATCTTCTGCAGTGTCTTTTTTTTTTTTTTTTGAGAGCTATTCTTTAAGTAACCCTGGGCACCTCAGCTATGATTGAGTCTGTCTTGCCTTGTTCTAAGTTTTTAAAATATTTTTTGCTCCATTTTTATTTGCATCTTAATAAAAATACTGATTGAATGCTTAGTGTTCTGAGTATCATTCTCTGTAAAAAGAAAATTGAAAATTAGAGAGATTATATCACCTTTCTGTTGTGGGGGATCTGGTATCAAGTCCCAGCCACTTTTATACTGAGGACCAGGCTCCAAGCCACCAACTCTTCTGCCTCACTACACAGGGGTAGCACTGAGGCAATATCACTTTGCTGCTCGCATACGAGACTGAGTTCCTTGAGTTGACTCTCAGCCTACAGCATACAGTGTTATGTAAGACGTGGTTCATCAATGTGTACTGAACCAAAGAAATAATAGTCCACCACCACAGCTGCCACTCATATGAATGGATATACAATGAAACACACACACACACACACATATATTTATATTTATATTTAGAAAAAAGACAGCAATATTGCTTTAGAGCTTTTTGGGTTTTTTTACTTTAATGAGAAATAAAAACAGAAATAAACAAAGCTCAGTGGTGCGTGCCTGTAGTTCCAACTACTCAGGGGACAGAGGCCCCATGAGTTGGAGACCAGTCTGGGCAACATAGCAAGACCCTGATCACTAAAAAAAAATAAATTAAGCCGGGCTCGGTGGCTCAGCCTATAATCCCACGCCTTTGGGAGGCTGAGGTGAGTGGATTGCCTGAGCCCGCAGGTTCGAGACCTGCCCGGGCAGTGAGACCTCATCTCTACAATAAATCAAAAAAATCAGCCGGGAGTGGTAGCGCATGCCTGTAATTCCGGCTACTTGGAAGGCTGAGGCGGAAGGATCGCCGGAGCCCAGCAGGTCGAGGCTGCGGTGGCCGGGAGCGGCCACTGCACTCCAGTCTGAGCGACAGAGTGAGACTCCAACTCAAAAAAAATAAAAATATAAATTAAATTAAATTAAACAAAAATGAAACGTTGGTAGGAATAGAATAAAGGCCATTTAAATAAATAAATGGGAAATATAATTTAATAGAGGCATAATTGGGACAGTGCTTTTCAAATTTCTTCTGCAATATTAAAATATTCAATAAAGTTTCTATAGGCATTTAAAAAAAAACTTTCCTTTTGAGTCCCCCCAAAATTAATAGATAACATTTACTTCTCTGATAATAATCTGATATAAAGCATATTTTAAATGCTTCACACTTAAATGTTGAAAGCACTTTACCTATTTCAAAATTATTGTACAAAATATTTAACCTCTAAAACTTATAAAGGACAGTCAATTAATATGTATTGCTTTAAGAGCTAATGAAATGGAAATAAAATGCCCTGCAGTTTGAGCATCTTCCATTTTAGTTGGGGAGTGGAGGCAGAGACAGTAAACATAGAAACTAAATGAGAATTTTGAAGATAATACTATAAGAAATAAATTAAGACTGTGATTGATGTATCTAGAATAGTGAGTTATCTTGATGAATTAGTTTATTTTTTGTGTTTATTTTAAGGTTGACACTTTTCACAGCCCTATTGTCTCAGTACAGGATGAATATCGCTCTACCATCTTCTGGCTCCATTTTCTCTTCCTCAAAGTTTGTAAGAGTCCCGGTGATTTCGGAATTTTTTATCAGATTCTCCCTAGGTATGTGTCTTATCTCAATATTTTGCATAGCACATAATGAACCCTTTAAATCTGCAGAAACAAAGTTTATATTTAGCTTGGAAATTTTCACATATTGTGTATGCAACTATTGTTTCACTTCTGTCTTTTTTACTATTCTGAAATGCTAATTATTCACACTGGGTATCCTCTATATATTCTCTAAATCTATTTTATATTTCCTTTCAAATTCTATTATTTAAAACTAATTTCTGTGTGAGTCAAATACTTCATTCACTTGATCTTCCAGGTGAAAATTCACATATCAGCAAAGTTCATTCTTTACTTTTGAATTTTTTAATTTGAAAAAAAAGTCTTACGTTTTAATTCCTCAAGGTCTTTTTGTTGCTTTATTAGAATTTTCTTAAAGTACTCTTACTAAGTTTCATTCATGTTGTTGTCTGTCTCCTTGAATAACTTCATTTTGATAGGGAGTCTGTCTGGTTTTATTTTCTTTTCTCTTTTATTAATGTTGAATCTTTTTAAATATGGAGTGTGTGTGTGTGTGTGTGTGTGTGTGTGTGTGTGTGTGTGTGTGTGTGTGTGTGTTTTAACCTGTCTACTGGTGCTTGGTCATTGACTTTAGGTGGCTAATGCCCAGGGAATGTAGACAATGTGATGGTATGTGTCAGGTGGACTAATAGTGTAGCTTTAGGTCACAGCATCCAAGAGAAAACCTCTCCCTGCTCTAATCTTGGGATAGAAAGGATGTGGCCCAAATGTTAGGCCATCCTCAGCTCCTGGAGAAACAGAGAAAACAGTCATATTGATGCTTTCCAATGCTGATCTTTCTCCTCCGGAAAGATCTTTGTAAGACAAGAAATCTGCGGGATCCACACAATTCAAATTCTCCCCCTGAGATGCTTCAAGGTTGGTCTCCAGACTTACTTCTAATCCAGAAGTCAAGGAGTTCCCAACAACCTCTTCCCTGGCAATCTCCAGGATCTCCCTTCCTTCTGAGCTGGAGCAACAACTCCTTGTTTCAGGAGTGTCAATGAGTTGGAATTAGAATTGGGAATGGAGGGAATCTACATGAAACTTAGGAGTCATCTTTCTAGAATTGAGTCCAAACAAAATTAACAGCTATGTTAAGTTGCTCATAAGCAAAGCAGACCTTAGAAATATATAACATCTGATATCTGCTTTGATAACAGTGATTATGAACCAAATGAGCAAAAATATAAATGTTTCCTGTTATCTGACTCCTGGAGTGCCAACACAGTGTTAAGAGTTAGGAAAGGGAACATGAAGGGAGGAATTAAAGACAATGTCTCCAGCTTCACAGAAATTTGGATAAAATCATGATGTTTTGGGTGCTTCAGATCATAATACTTAATTGACTCAGGTTTTGGGGTTTTGCCTATTAAAAAGAAAATGAGTCTCAATTGTATATTCCAACAAAGGGAGTGATTTCTACTTGTGTAAAACAGAAATTTTCTAACAAAAGATCTACAAGAGAAATGGAGTACTAAGAAATTAGAATTTGGTGAAGCGCCTTTCTAGTACAAAGAAAGGACTGTTTTTGGAAAGATATGACAGTAAACGTTAGAATAATTACAAAGGAGTGCTTTATGAAATTCATTGCAGCTCTCATAAACAAAAATATAAGAAAATAGAGTAGTTTATAATACCCTACCTAAGAAAAGAGGCCATTAGAAAAAAATCTCAATCTTTAATTCATAAAGATAAAGAAGGCTCGCCAAAAAAAATGGTGCAATGAATCAAAGAAAGAGTCAAGGCCAGAGCTAAACAGTACACTTTTATTATTTTATGCAATTCTACCAGGAACCCAACAAAAAAGAGTTAGTGGGAAAATAAAATGGCAAAGCAGACAACAGACACTGTGTAGATAAAGGAGTAGTTTATCATAAAAGGTATTTATTAGTGAACCAAACCTCTGAGGTATAAACTTGAA